GCCTTAACCCTCCTCCCTCCACTGACCAAAAGCCCCTTGGGTTTAGCACCCCACTGGCCACCAGGCCTGCTGTCTTCTCTTTGTTAAAAGCCCAGGCTCACCCTCACTCAGCATAGGAGACCCTCAGAGAGATGGAAAGAGGGCACAGGAGCAAAAGGGAGAGGTCTCATTTTGGAGGGCTGAGACCCCACATGCAGCACTGTCTCCCCAGAGGTATGTGCCCCAGCCCGCTACAGAGCCACTGCGTCCTAGCCATGATGAGAGGCTCTGCAGACTTGGGCACAAAAGGGTCCTGGGATGTGGGGGGAGCTGCTGCCAGAGCCTCCCAGGGGAGTAAAACCCAATGTTACCTGCAACCCAGATGCGGCAGCTGTGCAGAGTGCAGTGAGTTGGCAACTCTACATAGGAATCATCTCACCCAGGCCCACATCTGTCCTTTGCTAGTGGCTGGACCAGAGAGGGGCTTGTGGACCTACCAAAGAGCATCTTTTAGCAGCAGTATAGGTTCATGCAGAGGTCTCCAGTTCACTCCCTGGTGTCTATAATGCACCTCGATGTGGCATACTGGCTGGGAGGCTGGCTGCTGCCCATCTACCTGAGTGGTAGCTGTATATGTGGAGTTTATAATTCACCTGGGGAATCCTATGAGATGAAAGGAACCGCAGAATAACAGCAGGAAAAGGTTATTAGCATTAGAGATGAGATTCAAGAGCAAAGCACGGAGCAGAAAAGTCCTGTTCCCCAAAAGATCTGTTGTTTGGACTGAATTCAGGATAAACGGAGAAATCTGCAAGGAAATGTAGGACCAGGTCACTCATTGTGGTGGGGTTGTTCTGTGCCATCACCTTCTTGGGGGGCATTTCTACTCTGCAGCCTGCTTGTGAGTGAAGAACTGCTCTGCTTTGGTGCTAACTTTACACTTGACTCATCCTTGTTTCAGCATTTCTGGTGGGAGCACCAGGACGCAGGGTAGGACAGACCCTGGTGTTTTCAGGATGCTCCCTCTGCCTTATGTCATGAGCAAGCAGTAAGCAGAAATGTGTGCACAGATTAAACCTTGCCACTGCCTTCATTGCCTCATGCAGCTGCCTTATCTCCCTGGGCAAGGGCAGTGATTGCATACAGAAGCAGGTGTGCATCGGTGCATGCACAAGTGTGGGGGGGGGAATTCCAGGATGGTTACAGACAAGATCTCTAAGCCATGCAAGATCCCCCTTATCCTCAGCTGCCATGTGCAGCATCACCATGTACTGCTGAACAAGTGTTTCATTCCTCTCTAGAGGTGTCTGCGGAGGAAGAGAAGATAAGTGCCTGTGCAGTACACATCCTTTACGTCGTAGGGATGCTGGAGTCTTCATTACCTGGCGTTGATGCACCTTCTCTGCACCTGCCCTGTAAGGATCTAACAAGGCTCTGTAGAGGAGGACTATTGGTAACTGTTTTTTTTCTATAGCAGGGAAACACGAAGACGAAGCAACTATCCCCAAATAACCTGGTTAATAAGTGGAAGAACTGATGCCTTTTCTGCCCTGCAGCTTACCTGTAGCTTCTGGACGGTGGCATTGCCAGGTTATACAATTCGCAGGAGTTATTGTTGAAGGGGCTTTAAAAGAACCATCCCACAGATGGTCTGCAGTGTGGTTTATCTTTCATTTTGAATCCCTTGATATTTTTAATCCTTACTTTTTCAACCTCAGGACAGTTCATCTGTGGCCCGGTTCTGCCACCTAGTGACTAAATGGCTGCAGTTCACCTGTAATTTTTAAGGATTTTTGAAAGTTCAATAATGGTAAAAGATGGTAATGATGGTAGTAGTGAAGTAGTAAAATGGTAGAAGTAAAGGGTAAAGATGGTAATAATGGTAGCAGTAAAGAGCAGGTCAATAATGTTTATTCCAAGATCCAACACCAGTTTGGGATGTAGGGGTGGATTTTATTCTGCCCATAATTGAAAAAGCCTTAATGCCCAATGAGTCCCATGCAAAATCAGATCTTAACTCCAAATTAATTTACTCTTTGGAGAGTGTATAACTACTTAATGCAACAGCGTATGCTTTCTATGTTACCAAAGTGGAAATTTGAATCTGAACTATTACGGCCAGTAGATGGTAAGTTTTTGCTTTTTTTAAAAAGGCCCTTTCCTCTGGGAGATGTTGCACTAACTTTGCTTTAGCTGATGGTCCCTCCCTGTATAGGCTTGAGTCTACACCCATTTATGAGACCCCCTTGCTAAGCAAAAGTAAACCTGTGAATAAGATTCTTGGTTTCAAAAGGGCAAATTTTGATAAAAATTAATTAGCAGTCCCCTGGTCTGAGGAGCTCAGGGAGCTGAATGAGGAGGAGCCCTGACATTTCTTTGAGTCAGAGGTACTAAAACTATCTGGAATCGGTGTCCTTAGTAAGGGGAAAAACTTATAGGAACAAGGTGCAGACCTGGCTGAATGAGGCACCACCTCTAAGGTTTAGGACTAGCCATGACCCTCCCAGAAATGGAGAGAAGGACCACTCAGCAAAGCAGGCAGTGTCTCTGAGAGGAAGAAAAAAGTGAGGCTAGCCAAAAGTCAAGCTGAGTTGCACCTTGGAAAGGGTATTTAAGCAACAGGACAGGTTCTTCATCTAAATCAATGAGCGTAAGGAGTGGAAGTTGCCCTCTGCAGTGAGGATTGGATAGAGACTAAGAACGAGCTAGGTCTGACCCAAAAGCTAAATGGATGCTTTGCCACAGCATTCAACTAGGACAACAGTATTGGTCATGGGAGCAAGAACAAGAAGGGTGGTAGTAACAAGAGCATGGGAATAAAAATTGCTACAACTGAGGTGAAAGCAAAACTCAAGGAGTTTAATGAACTTCAATAGGAAGACAGCAGATAATCTTCATGTCAGCACCTGGGACCTCTGGGCTGGTAGCAAGTGTTTATGACGGATCTATAGTTGCAGTGGTACCATGCGACTGAAGAATAGCAAATGCAACGTTAAGTGCAATATTTAGGGGTAAGGGAAAATTTGATCTTGATTATTACAGGTCTATAAGGGTTTGTTGTGAATCCTGTTCTTAACCGAGTCACACCATTCACCCCATGGAAAACTTGGATATTTGACCTGGATTCTCAGCTTCCCGTCCTGAATCTGGTGGATGCCTGGAAGGTACTAGGACAAAGCTGAGAGGCTCTTTGTGACTTTGGTCCTTGGTCATAAATGACCAGCATCATCCCATGTGTGTGAACAGGTCTGATTATCTCTAGCAGAGGCAGCCAGGAAAAATAGAGACCAGCCCATATATTATATGTACCTGGCGGTCTACTCTGAAGAAATGCTCAGTGTGTATCCACATCCACCGACCACGAGTGTCTGACATGTCGTTGCTGCCTTTCACATAGCCTAAATGCTGGGATTTTTGAGCCAGGAATTTTGTTTCAGCATCTTTGAGACCTGAAGATACTTTAAAAATACATATTAGGCATTTGAAATCGTACTGACTTAACAATTGCTATACTGGATCAGTTCTCAGGTCCATCCAGCCCTGCAGCTTGTCTCTGTCTGTGGCAGAAAGTCGATGCCACGGGGGAGATAATTTAAAGAGATGGATATCTAGAATGATTTATTCTTTCCTCTACACAAGGGGTGTCAAACTCCCTTTGTGCCCTGGGTCAATTCTGGACCAAGGGGCTCCTTGCGGGTCAGACCTGGCCTGGGGCACAGGGCAGGGGTGATGGTTACTGAAGCTATTTGTGTAGTGGTAGTAGCTACTTTAGTGGCAGCCATGCTGGTGGCAGAGAGTGGGGCAAGTGGAGATGGACCAACCTGCCACAGCACACGTGAGGGCTGTGTTATATAGCCCCAGGTTGCACCCTGGCTGCTGACAGCTGTGTCTACCTGGACCCTAGGGCCACAGATGCCACAGCAGTTCACACCCACTGCTGGCTATGCCCACAAATCCCCAGCCCACTGGTAGCCCATGCAGCCCAATGGAGTTGGGCTGCAGGCTGGATGCAGCCTGGGGACTGTATCCTCTACCCTATAGCTCCAGAAAACATCATTTTTGAGTTAGGTCTTTGAGGGGGGTTGTAACATGCTTATATTGAGCAGTTCAGATTTCAGAGAGCTTCCTTGCTTTGTGAACCACAGAGAGATATTTTTTCCCATGACCTCATTTTTTGATTTTAGTTTGTGTAGGTCAAGGGTCGGCGACTTTTTAAGGTTGGGTTGACCCAGTTTGGGTCTGAGGCAGGCTGGTGGGTGGCCAGCTGCTGCCACTTTTCCCCATATCTGCCACTGTTATGTTTCCCACTGCCACCATGGGGAAACCATCTGCTGCCAAAGCTCCCCCACCATCCACCTGCACCGAAGCCCAAAGCCACGGGCTCGATCGAAAGGCTCTTTGGGCTGGATCCAGCCTGTTGGCTGTAGATTGACAACCCCTGGTGTAGATAACTTTGTACCACCATGGGGTGTTGGTCTTCACTCTGAGTCCATCTTGGTGGAAATGGCTATGATTTCCTAGGGGAGCCAGGGGAACCCACCAAATTTCACGTGACTTCCTCCTGAAATTGTAGACGCTGCCTCAGCCTTTCTTGAAGCTTGGCTAAAACACTTGGCAAAGTTAGGGATACTTTGAAAAAGTATGGAAACATTGGCCTGAGCTTATGGATTTGCAAACTTTTTGGTTGGTGGGTTTTGTTCTTAAAGCTATTTTGACACAACTGATGAGCGTTTTGGGGAATATTGATCTGTTGCTTATGTTTTATAGAGAAGACCCGGAAAGTAAAATAAAAGAAATCTGGATCAATTGTCTTCAGGTGGCTATTGCCATGCAATGGGCTGCTCCCAAAAAGAGAAACACTCCAAGCTGCTTTCCCCGCTGCCCTCCCCGGGGTTATTAATAAAAGACTTGGAGCAAAGTGGTTAATAGAAAGCAGCTTATGTTAATAATTAAGCTTGCCCTATGGACAGCCCCAAGCTTTTCCTGTGAAAAGCATCCAGCCTGCTTAAAAAAACTAGTTTGGCAAGTTGCAGCAGGACGTGACTTGGTTACCTGCAGAGGGAATGAAGTTAGTGCTTGGAAAAACCTCTGCCCCAAAACAGCAATAAGAACAAATAGAGCCAAGCTGTGAAGTTTCCACCTGATGAGAGAAGAAAGGTTATTTGGAAACCAAAGGCACCTGCATGCCTCTCTCCTCTGAGGGGTGGAAAGGAAGCAAATTGGATAAGGTAAGCAATAGCATATATCTATTTAAAAAAATATTTTGTCTGCCTAGATCAACAGGAGCAAATGTGATAGACTCTGACGAGCAGAGATCGTAGTTGTGTTGTGAACTGCAAGGAGGATACATCAAACAGTTGTATTACAAAGCAGCAGCACTCATCACGCAAAGAACAGAAGTCAAATAGCCTGTGGTCTTCATACATTATCATATTCAAGTGAGTTCATCCATCTATCGGAACAGGAGAGCTGGCGTGAGGGAGAAAGAAAGGAATATATACTATTGAATGTTTCTATATTTATATTAGGAGAACCTGGATTTGATTTCCTGCTGTTTAGCTACTATGCCTGGCTGCAGAACTCATGATTTTTATTCGGTTCAAGGCTACAGACTATCAGTGCTACGATGTACCAAGTCACTTGCCTTTCTGGGCCACAGTTTCTGCATCTTTAATATCACAGGCCACAAAACTCATCTGCTTCAAGCAAGGGTGTTGCCAGTCCCAACTAGTGGACTGAGGCATGTGGATGAAATGCCCTCTAGAAACACAGGCCTTATTGAGGGCAGATTATTGGTAGTTATGCATTACAACCCAGTTGAAACAATGCATTTTGGTCTGCCTGATTTTAATGATCCACTGGCAAGTGCAGCTGAAATGGATGTTTTGGTGTCATAGGTTTTAAATGTCTATAATGTGCCTGGCTCTGCCATAGTTGGCTGCATCTTGCCTTCGTATTAGTCAATACTGATGCCTACCTTGCCATCCCCTTATGGCAGGGGTGTCAAACAGGGCCCATGGGCTGGATCTGGCCCATAGAGCCCCATAATCTGTTGTCTGGTCCTGCCCCCTTTGCAGTGCCCGGGGACTGCATCTCTGGTGGGGATTGCTCAGGCAGAGTACTTGGTTGTACTGTAAGTGGTGCTCCCTTGGGCTTGGTCCTGGACCGGGGGTCTTGGATCAGGTATATGGATGGGTGAGTGGGTAGGGGGGAGTAGGAAGGTGTCGGTGGGCTTGATCCCACCCATGCAACAGCCCCATACTGCTCTTCTGGCCTGCAAGGCCAGTACAGTTTGACACCCCTGCCTTATGGAAACCTAGGCTGGTCTAACTTTGTCAGACACCTCTAGCTCATCTTGTCTCTCTGTTACCCAGTCTCATAAGAGAGCATCAGTTTTGAAACCTGCACAGGCTCCTGAGGTCTTTTGATTTCCTGTATTTTGGGCCTTTCTCTTGATTGGTGTGGTCTCTCAGTAGCTCTCAGGGGCAGGATCCCTGGGAAGCCAGTCTGAGGAGGACTGAGGAGCTGGCTGTACGTCAAAGAAGCCTGACTGAGAGTGCAGGAACAAACCATCCCAACGTGCAAGTGTGGCAGAAGACCAGCTTGGCTTAGCAGGGAACTCTTCAGTAAACTAAATCACAAAAAAGAAGCTTATAAGGAGTGGAAACTTGGACAAATAAGTAGGGAAGACTATAAGAGCATTGCTTGGGCATTCAGGGATGAAACAAGGATGGCCAAAGTGCAATTGGAGTTGCAGCTATCCAGGGAAATGAAGGGTAACAAGAAGCATTTCTACAAGTATGTCGGTAGCAAGATGAGAATCAGAAAAAGTGTAGGTCCCTTACTCAATGCGGGAGGCAACCTTGTGACAGAGGATGCAGAAAAGGCTGATGCCTTTTTCATCTCAGTCTTTACAGGCAAAGTCAGCTCCCAGACTACTGCACCAGGCAGCACAGTTTGGGGAGGAGGTGAGCAGGCAACAGTGGTGAAAGAACAGGTTAGGCAGTATTTAGAAAAGCTGGATGTGTACAAGTCCATGGGCTCGATGAGATGCGCCCTAGGGTGCTGAGGGACTTGGCTGATTTGGTTGCAGAGTCGCTGGCCATCATCCTTGGAAACTCATGGTGATTGGGACAGGTCCTGGATAATTGGAAAAGGGTAAACACAGTGCCCATATTTAAGAAAGGGAAAAAGGAGGATCCAGAGAACTACAGACCAGTCAGCCACACTTCAGTCCCTGGAAAAATCATGAATCAGGTCCTCAAGGAATCCATTTATAAGCACTTGGAAGAGAAGAAGGTGATTAGGAACAGTCATGGCCAGGGGCAAGTCATGCTTGACCAACCTCATTGCCTTCTGTGACAAGATGACTGGCTCTGTGGGTGCTAGGAGACCAGTGGATGTGGTGTACCTTGACTTTAGCAAGGCTTTTGACCTGGTCTCCCACAGCATTCTCCCAGGCAGGCCAAGGAAGTACAGGTTGGATGAATGGACTGTAAGATGGATGGAAAACTGGCTGAAGCATTGGGCTCAGAGGGTAATAATCAATGGCTTCACCAGGCAGCACAGTTTGGGGAGGAGGTGAGCAGGCAACAGTGGTGAAAGAACAGGTTAGGCAGTATTTAGAAAAGCTGGATGTGTACAAGTCCATGGGCTCGATGAGATGCGCCCTAGGGTGCTGAGGGACTTGGCTGATTTGGTTGCAGAGTCGCTGGCCATCATCCTTGGAAACTCATGGTGATTGGGACAGGTCCTGGATAATTGGAAAAGGGTAAACACAGTGCCCATATTTAAGAAAGGGAAAAAGGAGGATCCAGAGAACTACAGACCAGTCAGCCACACTTCAGTCCCTGGAAAAATCATGAATCAGGTCCTCAAGGAATCCATTTTTTCTGCAGAAAAGGAGAAAAATGTGATTATGAACAGTAAGCACAGATTCACCAAGGGCAAGTAATGCCTAACCCATCTGATTGCCTTCTGTGCTGAGAAAAATGGCTCCATGAATGCAGGGAGAGCAGTGGATATGATATACCTTGACTTTAGCAAAGCTTATGGTCTTCCACAACATTCTTGTAAGCAAGCTAATACAGCTATTAAAGAAATTTCTCCATATTACATAGTAACTAAATGAGGAGTGAATTTTTCTTCACCACTACAAAGTAGTGAAAGCACAGGTTGGATAAATGGACTGTGAAAGTAGGACAGAAACCTGGCTGGATCATTAGGCTCAAAGGGTAATAATCAATGGCTCAATGTCTAGTTAGAAGCTGGATACAAGTGGAGTGCCCCAGGGGTCAGTCCCCCAGCTCATTTTGTTCAATATCTTCATCAGCAACCTGGAAGATCTTAGACAAATTGGATGATTGGGCCAAAAGAAATCTCATGAGGTTCAACAAGGACAAATGCAAAGTTGTGCACTTAGGAGGGAACAGTCCTATACACCAGGACAAACTGGGGGTGACTGGCTGGGCAGTAGGTCTGCAGAAAAGGACTTGGGGGTTATAAGGGACAATGAGCTGAATATGAGCCAGCAGTGTGCCCTTGTTGCAAAGAAGGCTAATGGCATCCTGGGCTGCATTGGAAGGAGTGCTGCCAGGAGGTCAAGGGAAGTGATTATTCCTGTCTATTCAGCACTGTTGAGGCCACATTTGGAGTAATGTGTTCTGTTTTGGGTGCCCCAATACAGCAAGGATGTGGACAAATTGGAGAGAGTCCAGGGAAGGGCAACAAAAATGATTTGGGGGCCGGGGGGACATGACTTGTAAGGAAAGACTGAGGGAACTGGGCTTATTTAGTCTAGAGAAGAGAAGACTGAGAGGGGATTGAATAGCAGCCTTCACCTCCCTTCAGTGGGGTTGCAAAGAGGATGGAGCTGGACTGTTCTCGGTGGTGGCAGATGACAGAGCAAGGAGCAATGGGCTCAAGAGGCAGCAAGGGGAGTTTAGGTTAGATATCAGGAAGAATTTTCTCCCTAGAAAAGTAGTAAAGGACTGGAGCAGGTTACCCAGGGAGGTGGTGGAGTCTCCATCCTTGGAGGTTTTTAAGACCCAGCTAGACAGAAAGCTCAGAAAAGGGGGAAGAAAAGGAAGAGAGGGGAATTTCCAGACATGGGGACAATTCTTCCTCTCTCTCTCCTCTACCTGAGTTTCCTTTTTTCCTATCTGCAAATTCCTTCTCCCTTGGAGGAGACATCACTCTTCAACAGCCCCTAGCAGCTTCTCTCCCTCCCCAAACCAGCCCCGCTCACCTTATATCCCCCTGCATAACATCACCCTGCCTTGTCCAGGCAGGGACACACTCCAGTCTTTCTGCCAACCAATCTGCCTGAAAAGTCTTTGCTCTCCCTGGCCAGTCACCAGATAGATGATGTCTCTTAGGTTCTTGGTTTTACAATTTGCTCCCCCATTTGACCTTAAAGAGCTACACTCTCAAGCACACTACAAAGCTCATCTCTTTTTCCAAAGCAATTGGAAATAGGAATTAAATGGAGTAGGGGATCCTAAGGGGATTTGAATTTTTGAATTAAATGGAGTAGGGGATCCTACGGGGATTTGACTTTTTAAATTAAATGGAGTAGGGGATCCTAAGGGGATTTGAAGTTTTGAGTTAGCAGTGGTGGTCTCAACTGAAATGGCCTACTGAATGTTAGCTACATCTGGGGGCTGCTTTAAAGTAAATCAGTAGTACCAAGTGCACATGGACCAGTGCTTCTACATCCCGTCAGGCAGCGGTTCCTAAACTTTGTGGACTGACGGACCACAGTTAGCCCTCAAAATTCCTCCCAGGCTACCTTTCAAACTTATCATCAAATATCTAATTGAAAAGTGTGTATTGCAAACCTCCCTCCCTCTCGATGTTTAACTATGTGTAAATCTCATGAAAGCTTGGCTCTAAGCTGTGGCTGCCAGATGCATCAAAGTCTGTTCTTGAGCTCCATTGAAAAGCTGGAAGGGATGAAGCTTCATGTCCTATTACCAACTTTTTTTTTCCCCCTCTCCTTTTTTTTTTCTTATCTTTTATATTGTGAATGAGATGAAATAAATCCCTCTCCCAGGCCCTTCTTGGTTGCAGGCAACAGTTCTTCCTAGGCAGCAGGACAATGACTGCGAGCACCGTTCTCTGCCCTAGAGGCTTGTCATATGAATAATGAATTCAAAGCTGGTTCTTTTTCATGTTCCAGGGAAGTCCGAAGATACCAAAGGCAAGTGCTGTAACTCCGAAAAGTGTGAGTGATCTGGCAATCTTGGGAAAAACCTCTCATGAAATTGAAGTCAGAGCCTGGAGATGAATGCTTTGATACCATTCTTTTTGAATGTGGAGCTGCTCCTCTTAGCAGGTGAGTGTTATGGGGCAGCTGGCCTCAAAATTATCATCCACAAGGCTAGCAGAACAAAAAAACCCAACCCCTCCATACCACTATGATAGGCAAGAGATCATTGAAATTCTAGGAGCAGCTTTGCAAGAGGCCTGCAAGTTAAATGCTACAGTTCACTAGTGTCACTAAGCTGATTTTTAATCAGTCTAATTGCTAGTATTATTGGCATGGTAGCCCGGTTCTGTTTCTGTAACCGGTGGGTAGATGATTAGCTTCATGCTCTATCTCTCTATAATTTCCATATTCATTTCATGCTTGCTCATACTAACTGGTTTCCATTTGATGGCCATGTGGGAGTCTGTGTGGACATCCAGGGTATATGCCCCAAATAGGTGCAGTACTAGCAACTGGCAGCTCTACCGAAGGCTGCAGGAAAGGTTTTGTTAATATATAGCTGCAAAAGCTGGAGAGCAATTGAAACATGAGGCTGGAAACTAGATGGCTTCTGCAAAAAAATGCCTGTAACAGAATCTGGGCATTGGATGGCAACGTTTCACCAAGGAAGAAATCATTCCTCCTTCCTATGATCCTATGATTAACTGGAAGTTTGTCTCTCCGAAAGCATAGAATCATAGAAGTCGGGTCAGAAGGGACCTTGTAGATCTTCAAGTCCGACCCCCTGCCTGGGCAGGAGGAAAACTGGGCTCAATTGACCCCAGTCAGGTAGGCATCAAGCCTCTTCTTAAAGACCCCCAGGGTAGGAGCCAGCACCACTTCCCTTGGAAGTCGGTTCCAGATCCTAGCCACCCTGACTGTGAAGTAGTTCTTACAGATGTCTAATCTGAACCTACTCTCCAACAGCTTGTGGCCGTTATTCCTTGTTATCCCGGGGGGCGCTAGGGGAAACAAGGTCTCCCCCAAACCCTTCTGGTCCCCCCTAGTGAGTTTATAGATGGTCACCAGGTCCCCCCTCAGCCTTCTCTTGTGGAGGCTGAACAGGTTCAGGTCCCGTAGCCTCTCATTGTAGGGTCTGCCCTGCTGTGCCTGGATCATGAGGGTGGCCTTGCTCTGGACCCTCTCAATGTTGTCCACATCCCTCTTGAAGTGGGGCGCACAGAACTGGACACAGTACTCCAGCTG